CCTTTGGTGGTTAAATTTTTTAAAATGTCGAGATAGGTCTTTCAGAAATTAAATGGGAGACCATTAAGACCAAGTTTCAAGTAAATCTGACGACAAATATTATATGTTCCATTTAAACAGTGCCACTCCTTTTCTCCATTCTTCCCCCCCACAGGAACGGGATAAAAAATATCCTATGTCCGTCTCCTGGTTAATACCTCCCCACCAATTTTCAGCCAAATCGGTTCAGCCGCTCTTGAGTTATAATAGTGTAACTAACACGACTTCTTTTATATATTTAATTTATTTTTATTATAAATTCGTTATAGTGGATCTTAAATACTAACGATCAAATTATTTATGGACTTGTGTATAACCCATTGCGTTTAACTTCTCTAAAAAATCTGTTGCTAATAATCTGTAACCGAAGAACTTCTTTATGACTTTCTTCTCTTTTAGAAACAACGATCACTTTTCCACACTTTTCATTTTATTAAATCTAGACGACAAAATATACTATCTACAAGTAAGTTTGTAGTCCTATGACGTAAATGAAACCTTTATTAAAATCTTGAGAAACAACACTGCAAATGGAAAACCTTTTATTCGAATGATCGTACGTCGTCTTTAATGTTGCACGAGCCGAGGCCCAGAATCCTTTGATCTACAAGGTAATATTTTAATGTATACCTCTCAACATAGAAGGAAATCTTTGTAAACACGAAGATCATTTTAAATTCATTGAGAAATACGGCTTTTCGTATAAGAATATTAAAAAGGGAGATTTTGTGCAGCGCAGTTTTGTCTGTCATCGCACTAAATATATTTTTAGAATTTTGATCATGCCACTTGAAAATTAAAGTTACTATTTTATCATCTAATATTCAATTTTTTAACCAATAGCGACAAAGGTAGCGCCATCTGTAGTTTCGCCGCAAATTGTAGGTTCATTATTATTCAACAAGGTCCTTTTTAATTAATGATATCTACTTGTCACCAAGTTGTGCTCGACAAGTAGCTGCGCAATAGAGTATAGAGCATCCGATTTGACGCAATCGCTAGGCTTAGATTCTCTATCCTTTATCAAGTAGAGCGCCTTTCAAATGACCCTAGTAGAATGGACCGAGGTAGAGGGTTTTGGTCGATAGCTCCAAGGATACCAACATTATCGGTTACGAGAGGCGGTTGGGTATCTATAAAGATTTCGTCTCATCCACAAACTCTTCTGTCTTCATTTGGCCTTGGCTTCTTCCCAATCACCATTTGGGCATTTTCTAAAATTAGGATAAAAAGGACCTATCGCTCTACCCTTTGGTTTTATACGACCTTATAGGTCAGAGAAACTGTCTACCAGTTACAGTTCGTTTATCATGTATTTAGTTTTCCAGGATTCTCCCATAACAATACTATGTAATCCACGATTCTTAGTTACCTCATAAACTTACCGTTCTAATTGATTTCCTGTTTTGATCACAGCAAATCCCTCACTATATTCTGTGGGACTCCTATGAATAATTTGGGCGATATTGGGTTACTTTGCCGTATTTATATAGATGTCTACTCTGACTGTACTTCTGATTTTTGGGATAAATCCAATAGATCCTGCTATTGCACCATCTTAACCTTCACCTACTACTGCGTTCAAGTCTCCTAGGTACGTATACTTTAACGTTGTAATAGGGGAATAAACCATTTGTAAGAAAAAGAGTAACTACAATATTACCTTCATTATTCTTGCAGATTGTTTCTGTCCCTATAATCGCTGCTATTTGTAATGAAAATTTCTACAATTGTTCTACAGTTGTTTCTGAGTGTGATTAACAACGAATTAAATATATTTTCATTACAATATCATGAATGATTGTCACCAACAAGCAACGACAGGAACAGTTACGTCAATGTATTCTCTACTGCAATAATATCAGTCACCGATAGACACGGCTAGCCGTGACGTCGTGACGGACGCGGACGCCGGCCTTCCGTCGCCCAGATAATAATGAGAATCAAGCTTTAAGGGCTAATCGGTCAAATAAAAAGTTTTTTAATAATATGATTATCGGACGAAGGGATTTTCCTTAAAATAAAATCCAGATTTCGTTAAAACATTGTATGCTTTAAACTCCAAAGTTTAACTAACCATCAACGTAAGAAAATTGTTAGTGAATTCTATTAAAGCGTTTAAACACCGGTATCTTGCACGGCCCTGTCGTGTCATATAATAACATTTACGGTTTCCAGAATAGATATCTACCGCTTTTATACTTCAACTTCCCGCTACGATTCACGTCAACTCCATTCTGTTTTAGAGAAGGTAATAAAACTTTAAATTGATCATCTCACCCTTGGCGCATTTCGTTACAAAAGTCAGAATTACAGGCTGGAATATACACGTACATACATAGCTACAGAAATACACAGGTAGATTGCATTCATACTTGCTCGGTTATTATCTGTGCCGCAGAGTAGAAATCAAACTTTACTGAATTACTAAAATCAACCGTTCTCTCCTTTCGGAATGCACGGCACAGAATATAATTGTCAACAACAGCATATTATAACAACCAGTGCAAACCTGAAAAGTTTATTTCGACGTTCACGGATGACGTTTACGGTGCACGGTTTCGTAATAAAAGTTGAAAAGAATATACAAAGTAATTGATAGAGGAACTTCCGTCGGAGAAAGAAGACGAGAATATGAATACTAGGTACCTACTTATTAGGTATTATCCTTCTTCTATTCAAATTTTAAAGGCTTTGTATTAGCCAAGTGAGATAAATGGAATATTTATAACTTCTCCATGTCAATCTCTCTCAATCAGTTTACATATCATACACGAAACTTTACTTAAAGGTAAGCAGTGGCGGTTCGTGATGAGATGAAGCGGGTGCTTTACAAATATTTTGAAGTTTAATTCCAAGAAGACTAGAGGGGCGGAATAGAAACCACAGTGCCGTAAGAGTCAACAAGTTGCGTTCCAGTGGTTTGTTACACGTCGAGATATTGTGTATTTGATTCAATTTGTTTTTGACAACTGATACTACCAAAATTGATGCACAACCGCTTATCGCGCAGCGGACTATACATACTCTATCCGTGAAGAGATAAAGCGAGTGCTTTGCAAACATTTCCCCTACTCATCATCATCATCATCATAAGGTCGTTAGTCCTAAAACTGGTTGGATACGCACCTCCACTCGTTCCTATCCTGAGCTAATCTTCCCATTTCCCCAAAACTAGAACAACCCATATCCTATAAAATAATTCGAAGTGGTCTGTGTTCTGTCGAAACTGCCAGATGCGGATCGCGATTTCAATCTTATTGAATCTCATCAGCGCGTCGCAGGCAGCTCCGACAGAACACAGACCAACTTTTATCTGCTGTCTTAACAGCGCGTTTTAGAAAATACCACAAATAGCGCGGTAAACGCCATCTGTAGTACGATGCTACATTTCTAAAACTTGTGTTTGACAACGATAACACCGAAATTGATGCGCAATATTTTATTGCGCAGGGGACTTTTGAGTTTTTTATCCTTTATTACTTATGTTGCTTTTTATATCCATTCGCTTCGGGTTAAGTTACTACGTCTATCTCTAGTCTTATTGGTTAATGTTATCGACAATCCCTTATTGAAGCTACATCTAGGAAATGAGTTTTCTGGAGATGTGGAGTATGAGTTTGCGATGTACTTAATTAAATTCTACGCAGTCGAAGTACCAGGACACAGTTGGCTTTAAATAAAACTAACTTATCTATGAAACGCGTCGATAGAATTGTCAATACATCGTTGGGTCCAGGACATTGAATTTCGGAAGATGGTCTTGATTGCTTTCTAAAACTGAAAAGCATCTTTCAGCTTGTGATGTTGACGTGGGTCTTAATTATTTATTAGTATATAGTTAAATTGAGAGATTAACTTTTTCCACAGTTGATTTGGAAAATTTAAATAATATACTACCTGATTATATCGAATTTTGCACCTTTAGAGGAGGGATTATGAAAACTCATTTTATAGTGGGTGATACCGGTGTACAAGGAACCTTTGTATAAAATTTCAATCTTATTCATTCAGACGTTTGGTCTGTGCCTTGATTGATACATCAGCCTTTGAATCCCGTTTTTATCTCTTGAGGGGTTGAATTTTTAAAAATCCTTTTTTTGGTGCTCACCTATGTAGTTGGTACTAGTATGAGGAACTCCTGTGTAAGATTTAGTGATGAGCAAAGCAAGACCATCACCAAGACTGCCCCAGTCGACAATTGTGAGAGTTATGAACACTCGAGAAATTACCCTTCCTGCAGTGCATAAATTGAGCCTTGTTCATAAATTGACCCTTCCTTCAACGTATAAATTAACCTTCTGGCGAACAAAATAGGACAAGGTACTTGAAGGATTGTCTCTAGTATATTTCAATCATGTGTTTTCCAGACAGAAACAAAGAACACTTACACCAAGGACATCCTTCTAGATCCCTTTTTTGCAAACAGTGGTAAAGTTTATTGCTTTTTTTTATATTTATTCTTAAAACTGAAAGTTTAAAATACTCAAAATGTTTTGTTCCAAGAAAAGATTATATTAAAGTTGTTTCAAACAGTGTAACTCATAAATCCATCGGAAGTAATAATTTTTTGTTTAGTCCTACGTATTTGATCTTGGTCTTGCATATTCGGTCTTGTTTTTAGCCTTAGTCTTGTCCGTTCAGTCTTGGGTTTAGTCTTGGTCTTGTTCATTCGGTCTTAGTCTTCGTCTTGCTAGTATAAAGACATTCATGGTCTTGGCCTTTGCATTTTCGCAAGACTAAGATCAAGACTGCAAAACTAGGACAATTTTTTCTCACCACTAGTGAAATTTCAAGTATCTAGACCCAGGAGTTTGCACTGTGTTACGTTTTTTGTTTTACGTTCGTTCAAGTTTTATTACGTAATCTGACTATCATTAGATAATAACTGCAATTTTCTAAACCGAGCTCCAAGCATTACACAAAAGTCAAACAGAAAAATAATTCGTATCTCTCAACTGTCAACTTGATGTCATTCGAACTTCTTTGATTGTTTTTTGTGTGTATAACAAAAAACGAGAAAAAGTATTCGCTGATTATTTTCGCACTACCAAATATTTTGTTAACATTTTTTCTGCATTGAAATATATAGAAGATGGCGAAGCGTTTAAATGAAGAGCTCGTATTCAGAAAAACAAAGCTTAACAATCTAACTGACATTAAGAAGTTAAACTGCTGGGGAAATGATATCGAGGATGTGTCTTTACTCCAGCAGATGCCCAACGTACAAGTCCTTTCGCTAAGTATAAATAAAATCAATACTTTGGCCAATTTCCAATACTGCACTTCCCTTCAAGAACTCTACGTTCGCCAAAATGACATTAGAGATCTGAATGAGATATGCTACCTTCAAGGACTCAAAAATTTGAGAAATCTTTGGCTTGCAGAGAATCCATGTTCGTTACAAGAAGATTATCGACCAACGGTTATAAGAACCCTAACCCAACTTAAGCAACTCGATAATTTAGCAATTACCGAAAGGGAATACAAGGAAGCTGCTACTAAAGGCAGGCTTCTGATTCATCCCGACAATCTTCCCAGAAGATCATACACCGAAGAAACGCCGGAAAAGGAAGAAATAGAGATAGAGATAGAGATTCCAAAGGAAAACGAGTTCTACATGTCCAACAGCATGAACTACGTTAATAAAAATCGCTCATCGGAAGAAAATTGTTGCAACCAAAATAGTCCCAATTACAACAACCAAAATAGTCCCAATTACAACAACCAAAATAGTCCTAATTACAACAACCAAATCAAAGAAGAAATAATTTTCAAAAAAATGAAAAATTGTAGCACGAACCGTTCTTCTGAAGATAATTCAAAAAATACAACGTACAGACCATCGAGCCCTCCTACTTACAGGCTGAACAACAATTTTGAAGATGAATGCTTCAATTCCATCAGGTGTTCGTTTGAAGACCAAAACGATTACAATGCAATTACATCATTGACAAGCTATCACATAACTGAAGAAAGAGATAATGACACATTTTCGGTTAAAGATCATTACGTAGAAGAGTCCTACAGTTGCAGACCAAGTAATACATTTCACCAGGCGATCATACAACCCCTAAACGAGATTTCGTACTCTTACGTACCACCCCTGAATCACTCGTTCAGCTCCAATGATCTGGAAGATAGTTTGGAATCAAACCGTTTGCAGAAAAGTCAATCTACTGGTCTTATAGGACAAGAAACCAACACAGGTAGTTTCATTCCAATACCAAGGAGGGAGGATTCTAACAATTCCATGTTGACTGAAGACTCTCACCACAGTATTCTCTTATCACAACCTACTAAAAGTTTAAATAACAGTGTGGTTTCTGAAAATAGAAAAGACAACATCAGAGAGAAAAGTGCCAAAAAATGTCGGCGATTAAAGAACACCACAAAAACTGCTAATGTTCTATCAGCTGTTCTGTGTCTGTTGAAGGAGTTGGACCTTTCAAGCCTGGAAGTCGTAGAAATGGTAGTTGCCTCCAGATTAGACGAACTTGAAGGAATTTCGTAAACTTGAAAGTTCAGAAAAGAAATTTTCAGTTTTGTTAGTCAAAAACATTTTATTCAGTAAAGAAAGTCGATAAAAATATGAGTATATTATTTGAATATACTCAAAATGGTATGCCCTTATACTATATGAAACAAATCATTATTGGACGTATAATATGTAGTGTATATGTATGTAGATGTAATATCTACTGTTAAATTATTTGTCAAAAATTATAATAAATATTAAAGGTATCTCCCAAATAAATAATACTTGATATTTGAGTTTGATGGGTTGGGTAAAGGATTCTTTCTACTTCGGTGAGAACGCCGCACCTGATGGAATATGGTCGACATTCTCAACGAAAGTAACGAGGTCGAAGTCCCTTCACTGTGGTTGTACCGGCTCTGAATTGACACTTGTCATTACCATTTTACTTAGATTATAGTATATATATATATATATATATATTG